AACCAAATACATTAAATACATTAAATTTAGTTACTAAACAGATTGTTAAAATTAATATAGAAATTAGAAGTTAAAGTTATATTAATCAAAACTTACACATCGAAGAGCATTGTAGGATTTAACTCCAAAAAGTACCGAAGTCCAATGTTTGCATCTAGATCTGCTGAAAATCGTTGGCATCCATCGTAATTAAAATTGAATAAATGCAGCATGTTAGAAGACTTGTGATAAACAACATGAATCTTAGATTGAGGAGAAACACCGATGGATGCAAAGAAATCTTCAAGTGCAGATCCGTATAATTGGCATTTTTTTTTTAATATGCATGTTTGCAAAAACACTTCGAATCCCTGGCAATTCAATCAAGATTTACTGGCCAACACGTCTTAAATTTGCAGTGAGGTTGCTGCTAAGTATCTGATGAAAATAACTAAGAATTACAAATAAACAAAATAATTAAAATCATATCACAAATAGTCATGTATTATATACTTACCAATCCTTTTGTTCGAATGTTTGTTGGGACTGAAACCAATTGATCATAACCATATTCCATCTTGTCTCCGTTTTTTCAACCTGTTACCCCTGTCAATCCTATAAACTCCTCGTGCTTTTATGGAGGTTTAAAGACTTCGTTTGTGTTATACGTGAATATATGTGTTTAGTCTATATTTATATACCTATTTAAAACCCCTTAGAATTAGCTGGTTTTAAAAAAATAATTTATTTATTACCAACCAATCAATTACCAATTACTTGATGATTTTACCAATCTTTTAGGGATAACAACTTACACTTATTTGTACATAGTATGCACGTTCATTTAAAAGTCTTTAAATTTTGATTAAATTTATACTTTTTAAATTCCAATCTTAAAACTGTAAAATTACTAATCTCTTAGGGATAACACCTTACAGTTGTCTGTACATTGTATCCATGTTCATGTAAAAGTCTTTCAAGTTTGATTAAATGATAACTTTGAAAATTCCATTTTGAAAATATTTTAATGGAGACTTTACATGAATTGGAGATTCATTTCACTTATACAATCTGAAAGATTCAGATCAATTTTTGTGTATCTTTAATATTTTATACCAATATTATAAATGGATAATGGAGACTTTACAAGAATTGGAGATTCATTTCACTTATACAATCTGAAAGATTCAGAACAATTTTTGTGTATCTTTAACATTTTATACCAATATTATAAATGCATGAGCATTTATTTGTAAGTAAATCATCTAATAGTAATTTGACGTAATTGATTACGTTTACACCTGAACATCAATTGTTTACAGAGACAATTGGTTTTTAATTTGATAACTTTATATTTATATCTTTACTTTGATAAAGAAAACGTATTTAATGTTGCATCTTTTATCACAAAGAGTTACATTATTAACAAACACATTATGATAAAAAGGATGAATGAAATTCAAATGAAACATACCATAATCATCATAAAAGATATTTGAATTCATTTAAACTGAAGTTTGTAAGATGCTATATTAATTACAAACACTGAAACCAAATTTTACATCAATTTTGCCTGATTGTAAACTATCTCTATCCAAATAGAATTGGCATAAGCTCCCTGTTGGTATAGCATTGTCATTGAGCAATGACAACCAGTTCCCTGCAATTTTCAATTGGTTTACTTTCTTACCAATGAGCTTCTGATCATAATATTTTTGAAAATGCATCTGATATGGTCCTGGAGTAATGTGGATTTTAGCTATTTGTTTGGACACAATTTTTTTTGTGCCTTTTCCAAAATGCAGCAGGAACATTCTGTAACAAATGTAATAAAATCAAAATTTTGTAATCATGGTTATGCAATTGACTCGAAATCAAATTATATGTCGTCAACAACTTACAAAAGCTTTCTTCTTGCAATGATTATCACCAATAGCAATCTTGAAACAGTCTCCTTCATTTACAGTAATAGGGCCTATTATTTCTGAACCGTCAGCTTTGAAATATTGCATTGTGAAACGCATATTACCCTCATATTTGCTTCAAAACTGCAAATGTTGCTTCTTTCAAAATATCCTCATGATCAGATAACAACTTCTTCCATTTAGTTCTAGCAAGTACAATTTTCTTAAGGAAGTACCTTCTTCATAATCAATATCAATTGTACATGTGTACTCACCATAGTCAATAGACCAAAATGACGAATCTGAATGATTCACCATATGGTCTTCCATCAAAATTTCACTGAATAAACTTGGTAGAACTTGTGTATAAATGTAAAATGCAATTATGGGATTTCATAAAGAAAACATTGCTGTAATAAAAGAATAAGGATAATACATTGAGTGAAAAATTTCTCCATTCTGTCTTTAATATCTTTGCAGTTGTCCCAGGCCAATTGCGGAACTGAATTGTTGGTGAGATTACAATCTCGATCAAAAATTAAAACATGAAGAAACCCTGGTGCTTGAACAATTATATACATGGCATAATAAGTGATCAATTTATGTGCTGTGACAAAATTCACCCACGACTTCCCAGCAAACACAATAGAAGTATGCTGTAAATTGAAACCAGCTGTGAGAGTAAATTGACCATTATTGCTTACAACCTGAATTTCTTGCTTACTGTTGTTATTTTTTGGTAGAGCGCTAACCAAAGGGATTGGCTACATAAACAAAAGATTTTAAACTTTATGGTATGATGATCATCTGAACTATGTAATAAACAATTTACAAAATTTAAATGAAATACAACCTTACCTGTCCCAGAACAAACCCTTCTTTCAAAAGGATGAAACAATTTTTAGCCACCTGAACTTGTAGTTCTTCTGTATTTGTCCTCAAATTTGTTACTTCTGAATGATGTGAAGAACTTAGTTGGATAAAAAAAGGTATATATAGCTGAGGAATCAAACACTTATTATTATAAGATAAATTCAAAATCCCCGATTTGTAGGCAATGACCTTTTAAATTTCCAAAATAATTTATTATTCTAAGATACCAAATACATTGTCTGTCAGCCTGATTTATAGCACTTGTTTTAAATTACTGAGGCAAGTTTATCTGAATAATAACTCTCTGTGCTTTTCTTTACATCTTTTTATTCAGTTTATATTAGTTACCTGTGTATATAAAATTTACATAATAAACATCACTGTAAAAATATAAGTAACTCATCAAAAGTATAATATGTAAACTCCAATAACTTAAATAAACAAAAAACAAATATCCATATCACAAAAGATATGTGCACCCAAAAGCATAAGAGGAATTATAATAGAGTCTGATCAATGGAAAAACACAGTAAGATAGTAAACTGTTTCTTTATTTTCAGAAATAGAAAATTGAATTTGCATCCTTAATCATCACAACTTCCTGGCACGCTTGTTGGCATTGGATTTGACACTCTCTTCACCTGATCCAGATGTTATCTTATTCTTCGGAGGAGGACTTTCTGCCATGTCATCGCCTGGCAATCCCATGTGTGTGTCATCAGTGCAGGAGATGGCAGTCTGTTTACATTATAAACTGTAAGTACTACTAATACATATGTACTCAAATACGAAAATGTTGAGTTAAGTTTTGTAATTATCAACGTGAACGATTTATATATAATATGTTAGCAGTGCTATCCTGGGTAGGAGTTAAATTTTGGTAAAACTCTGCGCTCATCTCTGGATCAATTTCCTGTTAAATGATTGCATGTTCGTAAATTTTGATGAATATTGTTTGGAAACCACCACAGAAAACATAAGTCAGTCACGGTGTGAGCGCTTAAAATGCATATTATACCTGGTCTTCAGAAACATCATTTAGATATTTCTTAATAATGTCTGACTCAGTAGTGACCTTAGCAACTGATATCTCACTCTTATTATTGCGTATGTTGTAATTAGACACATCCAGCCTGAACAGACATTTCTTCCCAATCAATTCATCTAGAACTTTAGGGTAGTCATTACCCTCCTGTAACATACATAAATTTATTTAACCTTTATATGAAATTACAATTATGTAAATAGACAACTAAACACAAAATATATTATACCTGCTCACGTAAATTTTCAATAGTCTTATTGATGAAATTGTAAACCATCCTGTCCACAGTGTCACAATTCTACTTCCAGAAGCATCCTTAACATAAACCTGAAGTTTGAACCTGTGGTGGAAGGATAAAATCAACATGTATGATAATTGAAGAATGTAGAATATACATGGATTTTAATAATGCTAGTATTTAAAGTAGATTTCAACAGAATGTACTTTGCTCCGACAGCAGAAACAGGCTCATGGTTGCCACACGTCCATTTCTTCTCAACTGTTAAGTTCTTCTGGCCATCAGCAATCCTTCCCTTTCCAACCTGTGCATTAGTCCTTTCGCTTATATTTTTTTTGCCTATGACATTTTCAATTTCTTCCACCTTTTTGTTGCAATATCTGCAACCTATGTAGGACCAATCAAACTCTTTGGCTAATCCAGTGATCTTACAAAAAAACCACAACATAGCCAGCCTTTACAATTACAGAATTTCCAAAGTTAGATATGATACAGATCTGATAAATAGGATAGTAATTGCATTAATGAATGTTTTATAAGCTTTTGATACCTCATTCATGTCTTCAATATCAGCTAATGATAACAGGCTTGCACCACTTATGAAATCTTCATAAGTTGTGTAGCCGAAAATAGATAACATCATCGATATTTTGTGGATGCTTGCATGTTTGATTTCATCATCAAATGCTCTTACATGACATAAATAATGAATTTTCATTAGCCACATGTTTACAATTGTGCTTGTCACTTGAACTAATGGATAATATAAACATTTTTTTGGGAGATACCTATCTTTATATCCAGAAATGTCAGGCATCGTCATATCATCAAGATAAATCTTTCCATTCAAAAGGTTTGTAGTAACAGAAGCTTTTGCTGTTTCAGTAATCATGTCAGTTATTAAAAGTACTGGAAATGAAAGTAATTTAATTTTAATTCAGATATTGCAGTATAGATTATGTTACTTACAGTAATACTTCTTGCATTTCACATATTGAACAATTAGCACAACAGGATAAGAAGGATTTGTACACATGTAGTCAATAACTCTGTCAACATGTTCACCCCAAAGAGTTACCTTAAGCCTGTCAGCCCTTGATAAATTGAAACACCAATTCAGCCATTTAGACACATACAAAAATATACACATATTAACGTAAATGACTAAATGAATTTGTTACATATCTGTTTACCTTTCATCTTCAAGTTCAACAAAAATTCTCTTTTTGCCGTAGTCAACAATAGGATCACTATATGCAATAAGGTGTCCTATCAGATCTACATGAATCACAATGGTTACTAAAATATTAGATTAATTAATAAATTTTTTGCATGCATTTAAATATAGTAAAGATTTGTATGATAAATGAAATCAATAAATTCTTACCAAAACAATAATCAAAGTTAGCGATAAAATTTGTGACTTCTGCAAATGGCATAAACTCGAAAACATGAAAAGGTATGTCAATGTCAAGATCAATGACAGATTCAACTAATGTCTTTGATTCAAATAGAATTTTGTATTCATGTTGAGCACATCGGAATCCACCACTTATGTTCAAAGCATGATCGAAACGTGACAACTTCCTTACACAACCTTCTCTGAAGAAATCCACAAAATCTTTTACATATCGACCATGTATGGTAGCTTGGATTTTGTTACCCTATATACCAATAGAGTTACAGTCAAATTATACTATGGAAATGATCATACTGCAATTTAATCTGTGGATATAACATGAATTGAGAGTTTAAATTACCTGAGCATCGACCAAAGTCATTTCCATTGACTTAATTTTGTTGCTTTTGAAGTTTCAGGAACCTTCCATAGTGTCATAACACGCACAACAATAGAAAAATAGATACTTTTAGTATCAATCATCCCATTGATGTCAGCAATGTACCTCTGTGCAGCAACATTTGGGACAGATGGGGCACGATCAACAATTGCCTTAAGATTCACAGTTGCTTCAGATTCCACAGACTCGTTCCCAGAATCAAAGTGACTGTTCATTGGCACACCACTGTTAACTATTGGCACTTGGTGGTTTACAGTTTTTGTTGCAACGGAGATAGAAGAAGGATCAGATACAGATTTAATGTTTCCATCATCAACCTTTTTAGTTTGTGATTCAGGTCTGCTGAAATCTTCTACAACAGAAGAAGAGGGAACTACATCTTTGGGAGATACCAATTCAGGAGCCATGGTAACAAATGAGAAAAGAGCGTTTGAAGGTATGGTTTATGGGTATTGAATAACTTTTTTGGGCTGTCACAACTGGTTTGAAGATATGGTTTCTGGGTATTGAATAAATTTTTTGGGCTGTCAGAACTGGTTTCACTGCTTATCTATTTATAGAGATAGAATACTGCACTATACAACCATTACAGAGAGTAAATGAGGATTTCATGGACCCTCATTTGTTGATTTAATATGTTGTTGAAGTTGTTATAGAAGATATACACGTTTTTGATAATTATATGGGAAGGATTTTGAAGATGAATTTGAGTTCATATTGGAATTTTACAGTTTTTGATTATGTTTGTTTTGATAATTTACAGGTAAATGCGGGCTGATTTTATGGAAGAGTAATTTCCTCACTCTTTATCACATAAATGACTGGATATCGTGGAGCATTTTGTGGAGGTATAATATGGAAGATTTTATCACCATGTATCAGTCAACTCCCTTGTATTGAAGGGATTACGTCAACTCCCCTGTAATGAAGGGATTACATGGTTTTTTTTTTTTTTTTACTTTCGATGGCTAAAATTTTAAATTCAAAATTTTCAATTTTATTTACCAAATGGACTGTAATTTTGTACACAACGATTACTGCAGAGTTAAAATTTCCTGATCATATAGGAAGCGTCGTGGCTTTCGTATATTGTATCTGTGTTGTACTATATGATGGCTGAGGATGGCTATGGTGCTTTGGAGGAAGAAGAAGAAGAAAAACGAACCACATCTTTGGGAGATACCAATTCAGGAGCCATGGGAACAAATGAGAAAAGAGCATTTGAAGGTATGGTTCATGGGTATTGAATAACTTTGTTGAAGTTGTTATAGAAGATATACACGTGTTTGATAATTATATGGGAAGGATTTTAAAGATGAATTTGAATTCATATTGGAATTTTACAGTTTTTGATTATGTTTGTTGGGATACTTTTAAGGTAAATGCGGGATGATTTTATGGAAGAGTAATTTCCTTACTGTTTATCACATAAATGACTGGATATCGTGGAGCATTTTGTGGAGGCATAATATGGAAGATTTTATCGCCATGTATCAGTCAACTCCCCTGTATTGAAGGGATTACGTCAACTCCCCTGTAATGAAGGGATTACGTGTTTTTTTTTTTTTTTTTACTTTCCTTGGCTAAAATTTTAAATTCAAATTTTTTAATTTAATTTACCAAATGGACTGTAATTTTGTACAAAACCATTACTGCAGAGTTAAAAATTTCCTGATCATATAGGAAGCCACGTGGCTTTCGTATATTGTATCTGTTTTGTACTGTATGATGGCTGAGGATGCCTGTGGTGCTTTGGAGGGAAATTTTTTAATATATTGCTGACACGTATCCCAAATGTTTGTTGCCTTACGTAAGTACTATGGATGTTTTTGAGAGAAGATTTTAAAAATAACAATAATGTTGAATAATTGATTTTTTTTTTCTGAATTGTAGTCTATTGATTACATGATTGGGAGGAAGATTTTTTTTTGAGAGACATTAATTAAATGAGTCCAGTAGTAGCTTTGGAGATTATTTTGGGGAGAGAATAATTCTGGTGCATTAATGTTCATTAATCCCATCCATTAAATTTAATTAATTTTTATTTTCCTATCTTAAACTATAGTTTTAAATGCCATTTCATAAAATTTTATTTACATAAAATTTGAAGGACTATTAGTATAATTGTTGTAAATATTTTTTGACTCAACCATTAAAAACATGACACATAAGATTTTATCCTATGTGGCACCTTTAGAATTTTTTTTGTTTTTTCTCTCTGGTGTCTGTCTTAGTATAATATTATAGATTATTCATCCATATTCGTGTTGTTTGGGAAAGAGAAAACAGACGACGACGACGAACGAAGAGTACCACCTCCACACTTTTTATAAAAGAAAAAGAAAGAAGAATACGTAATTAACCTTTTTTATCCATTATATTCTTAGCATGAATGTACAGTGAATTATTACAATGAATACGTAATTCTTATAACTTCCGACCTCTTATTAACTATTACAATGAATTTAATTTGTGTGTTTATAGATTTTGTAAAAATTATTTTAAAGGGTGTTTTAAAATCTAGAACAGAGGAAGAAAACTGTTGAATTTGAACTTGAACCCGCAAGTTACAACTTACAAAAAATCCAAAAAATATGAATAAGAGTTTAAAAAAAAACTTTACAAAAAGTGAGATGGATTTTACACTTGAAGAAATATTTGTACTTTTATGGGACAATATTAAAAACTGAATATACGTTGTTGGAAGGAGTTTCGAGCATTTTTTTTTCTTTTGTGCAAATTTGTGTTGGCCTAGTTGTGGTATGAGTGACTGCCATTTGGCAATTTATGGTCCATTTCATGAAATGTATGCTGTCATTCATTGTTGTGCTTTGTGAAAAAAAAAAAAAAGAATTAGAAGGACTACTACGACGACGACGACGAACGACCAAAAAAACTGTAGAAACTCCCATTCACACTTTATAATAGGAATGGATACTAATGAAAGAAACAAAGAGTTTCAAATAACTCATTCAATCGTTATATCCCGCAAAATGTAAAAACAGTTTGCAATTTGGAAGGGCATACTACTGTGTCAATGACAATTTCTTTGCATTCATTCAAATAATTTGAACACTATTAGTCCAGTACCATGTCAAAAAATTTAAGTTTCGTTGCGGTATTTTTGTTGCCATTACTAAGATAATTACTAATGGATCCAGTTTTGGTTACTCTTGTTTTATCAAAATTGAGCAGCTGTCTCAATGATAAATATTCTGGACAAATTTTGGGGTAAGTTGCGGTTTTTTTTTTTTTTTTTTTCTCTTGCTCCTTTTTCTAAGTTCTTTCGATGGATTATTCAAATTTGTGCATATGAATTCACTTTGAGTTGATAAGCAGTTTGGCTCTGATTTCAGATTAAGTCGCATGGTTTATTTTTTCTTGTTGGCCGAAAGTTTTTGTTTAATGGCGGCTGCTGCATTTTTTTTGGTGGCCGAAAGATTCTGTCTCCAAACATTTTTTTTCCCGGGGGGTTTACGATCTCGATGGCATGAGCAGTTTCTTTTTTGAAAAGAAAAATGAAGGCCAAGTTTTATTAGATAGTTTCGCAGATTAATCAATCATGTTGATTGTGATTTTTTTTTTTTTTGGAAAACGTGATTGTTCCATGAACAAATTTATTGCGCCTGATTTGTTTTTGTTTTCTGATTTGTCTGAATGCTTCACATTGGAAATGATCGATCCACTGTATATCATGGTTCAAGAAAAACAAATCTTTTTGAGTATAAATTAATAAGAGTCTATAAAATTTTGTTAGTATAGATAACTAATATAAGTGTTTAATTATAACTCAACTACTAAAGCTCCCTTTATCTAAAAAGATGTTGAATACGTCTAAAAACTCAAATTTAACCGTATTCAGTTATGATTTTATTTTTTTTAGTGATAATCTTGTAGTTTATCTTTTTTTTTATGATATAACTTATAGGGATTTCAATTTTAAAAAAAATCAAATATTTTATTTTTTATTTTTTGTTAAGATCCTCCTTATCCTATTATTACTACTCAGTATATATTCCACAGACATTCATAATCACAACTCACTCCTTCCGCAGGTAAATATTTTTTTTTCTCGTTAATTTTTCCGTTTCTTTAATTTTTTTTTTCACATTGAGATGACTAATCTAAAAATATTGATGTTTGTTTACAGCTTTTTTTTTTTTTTTTTGTGTACGATGCAGGAACGACATAGGTATTGAATGTCTTTACGTTGGTGCCTCACGATGTCTTTGAAAACCGATGGTTTTGGTTGAATTTTTTTTCATTTGATTGTATTTTTTAACGGTATTTTTTTGGTTTGGGATATTTGGAAGAAAAATTTCATGTGATCTGCTTTGCTTTAATTTTGAAGCGGGAGCTTTGGAAATCCAAAAAAATTGCTTCTGTTTATTTTTTTTTAGTGTTTTTTATTTGTTTTGGAATATCGTGGATTCATTTTGATGGTAAACAAAAGCTTCAGCCATACAGGAGTACGGAGTACAATTCAGCTAGTTTGAGCATACAATTTGACCGGGCCGTGAAGCGGCGAAGGGAGTATAATATTACGTGGAGAGTCTTTGGTTTCTGGTGATCCATCCCGCTGGGACTTACCGAGTTGCTTGATTTTTGACTTTGGTAGATTTTAGGGAAGTGGGATTGACCTTTTGTACTCTGAAATGAAAGGAGAAGTGAACTTTTAGAATTAGCTTTTATTAGAAGATAAAAAGGAGTTCAAAAGATGGAATCCTCATTTATAGTTGTACATTGACAATATGCATACTTATAAAGGTTCTACTACTTCTTGATATATTGGAAAATTATTATCTCGTACAACTATACGACAACCTAGATAAGATTTACAAAATCAAATATACAACTAACTAATACCCTCCCTCAAGTTGGAAGTTGCAAATGATTGCAAACGCCTAAATTGGATAAAAGAAACTTCAACTGGATAGAATCGAGAGATTTAGTAAGGAGATCAGTAGCTTGCAATGTCGTTGAATATAGGAAGGCTGAACAAGTCCCAACTGAATTTTTTTCCGTACAAAATGGCAGTCAATCTCAATGTGTTTCGTGCGTTCATGAAACACGAGATTGGAGGAGATGTGTAAAGCTATTTCACTGTCATAATGTAAAGTAACAGAGACAATATCAAACACCTGCAAATCATGGAGTAAATTTTTAAGCCAAGTGATTTCAGAACAAGCATGAGCATTAATCGATACTCAGCTTCGGTCGAAGAGCGAGAAACGGTGTGTTGTTTCTTAGTTTTCTATGAAATTAAAGAACCACCAAGAAGCATGCAATGTCCAGAAATTGAGCGGCGAATAGTAGAACAAGTTGTCCAATCAGCATCACAGAAACCAGTGAACTTAAGATTACAGTCCGAAGGATAAAAAAGACCTTATGAGATTGTACCCTTCAC